GATGCGTAGTAGAGTTGTGTAGGGGTGCAGTTTTCGACTGTTTGCTTACCAACTGCGACTTGTATTTGATCACTTGCTTTTGACAGTCATTTATGCATATAGTTCAGGGAATCATAATGTGAGATAGAGCATATAGGTAGCCATGTGAGATTTGAGCCTGCTCGTTTCTTTCTTGTGCGATAGATCCCTCTTCCATGAAATGTAGCATTCACGTTGTCACTAGCTAAGATGATGGAGGCATAGGATTAGCCCACGACCAAACTGACTGTCCTGATTTGTCATATCCCCTAGTCAGCCCCTTTGAGCCGTGTGTTATCCTTTCTTTCGGTTTGAAATGAAAAATCACCCTTTGCATCTTTTAGAAGGTTCCACAGAGTGGTTTTTGCATGCTGTCTACTGTTCTGCTAAATGTAATGTGAGGGTTGGAGGTAGTGCTTAAAAAGTTGGGCGTGTGTTTGAAAAATGTGCAGAGGTGGTGGTTCTCTTAAGGAATGAATAAAGAAGAAAATAAAGAAAAACAAAGAAAAAAGATGAAAGCAAAAGAGAGCCACCACCAAAGTTCTGAATAGTGCCCATTAAGTAGTGTTTCCTAGCAGTCTGGCTTGGGAATGCTAACATTCTTATAACCTCCTTTGCTCTTGTGCCCTGAAGAGTTTGATTGATGCAGAATAGCAGAACGAAAGTTACTGGTTTGCTTGATTGTGGTTTTGTTGGGTTTGGAATTGTGGAACCTTGTGCTATAACTGCCACCACCTAAAAGGCCTTTTCCCCATGTCCAAGACCCTAGCCAGTCATTTGAACCTGTGTCTAAGACCTCCGGATTAGTTAGTGGTGACACCCCCTTATGTGAACTCTAGCATTTAGAGGCTGCATTCATGGTGAAGAGACGTTAGGAATTGAGAGAAGAAGCATGCGCATTTTTCGCATCATATTGTCCTGACCCCACTGGTCGAGAGTGAGCGATTCATTTTCTCATTTTCTCTATACTCTTTACCCCGGTGAGGACCTAGATTGCTCGGTCTTAATTCTGATATCTTGAGCTTTGTGCATGAAGTGACTGTTTTGAACAAGTGATTGAGTCAAGTCTATGTTGGTTGGTGAACATGAAAGAACTCTTCCTTTGCTCAACTTTATTGCATTCGAATGTCATCTGTGGTGGTTGTCTATGTTGTCGTTCGAGTTGCCATGTGTTGATGATCGAAAGCCAGTATGATCCACGTGTTTAATAACGATATGATTTGCCCTTAAGCCTGCTTGATTGAAATGTCTCAAGCTTACCTGGTGTCTGACTTGGTTTGCTTAGGGACAAGCAAACGGTTAAGTGTGGGGGAGTTTGATAACGATGTAATTACATGATTTTATACCCCTATTTCTTATTCATTTGCGGAGCATGGTTGTGTGTTTTGGCCTATTTTACGCCGGGTTGTGCTACTTTGTCCTATTTCAGGTCCCAGGCGTCAAAGGGAAGGCCAAGCACGAGTTTCGGATCGTTTGGAAGGCGTTTGGACAAGCCAGGGCCAAAACACGGGCAGGAGGCCTCAGAACACGGCCGTGTTCCTGCCCGTGCTTTTATGGCCGAGACTTTGCAAGTGTGGCTTGAACCACCTAAAAAACACGGGCAGGCCTGAGGAAAACACGGCCGTGTTTTAGCCTGAACACGACCGTGTTTTCAAGCTGCCCGTGGCCGTGCTTTTAAGGCTGAGGCAAAGCACGGCCGTGCCCTCGACCGTGCTTTGGCCAATGATGCCCTTTTAGGCAGATTTTCAGCCAAAGAGAAGGGGATCCGAGTTTTTGAGAGAGAAATCGATTCCTAGAGAGAGAAAGCGACGAACCAGAGTTCCCAAGCGCCATAGATCGATCTTCAACACCATTGGAGCCCGGTTTGAGCTTGGAGAAGTGCGATTAAACGTCCAGGAGCAGGAATCCAACTTCACAGTATGATTTCCGCGTCTGAATCTGCTTTTGCTTCTTTCTCTATGGAGTAGTTTCCCCATTCATCTGGGTATGGAGAACCCTAGATTTGTATGCTAGGTCTGATTGTATGAACCCAAGTACAGAGTTTGTGAATTGATTATATTCGATTGAGGTTTGAATGATTGAATGACTTGAATCCTGATCAAATTCCTGTTGTTTTTGCTTTGACCTAGAATGAGAATATCTGCCTAGGTTGATAGAGTACCCTTAATCGAAGGTGGCGAATTGGTGACTTTAGTCGAGGAGCCAATTCGCTATTCTGTACCGAAGTTAATTCGGTAGTGGAGGTTTGGTTCATTAGGGCCTCAATCTGTTTACTCCGGTGGAGGTTAGTCGCCCGCTAGAGACTCAGATTGAGAGGGTCTGGAGACCTTTAGTCGAGACTTCAGGCTAATTGAGAACCTTCCGCAGTATAACTTTCATGAAAACTGAACTTGGTAATTACAATCCGACTTAACTGCAGTCTAGGGGGAACCATATCCGGGTGACCTCTCTTGACTTGACAACAAACCGTTTACTTGCTTTGTGTTTTGTTGCTTGAGTTTCACTAAAAGTTCACTGCTAAATAACAAGAATTCACCGAGTAGTCATCACATCTAGGACCCGGGTTGATAATAAAACCCAAACCCGCTATACTACGCTTTAGGAAGTGGTTACACTTGGCCATTTTCTAGGGTGACAGTAACAGCGAGTCAGTCCCCTATGATTGGTTCTTGTGTCCCTTTTGTAAGTGACTAGGTAAGTTTAGTCAGTGTGCGAGGTATTCCCGATCAGGTCATTTTCTTGACGTAATTAGACGGTTGTACGATCAAAGAATAGATCGTTCCGTCGGCGTCGAAAGAGCAAACAAGACCCAAGAAAAGATCGGCCCTCAGCTTAATGAGGATCTCCCCGATCAGGTCGTTCCCCTGACTTTATTAGACGGTTGTACGATCTAAGAAGAGATCGACCCGTCGGCGTCCAAAGGGCAAACACAACCCAAGAAAAGATCGGGCCCTCAGTTTCACGAGGAACTATCGATCAGATCGTTCCTATGGCGTTTTAGACGGTTGTACGATCCAAGAGTAGATCGTCCACTCAGCGTCCAAAAAGGAAAACACGATCCAAGAAAAGATCGAACCCTCGGTGTTTATTATTGGAAAAAGACCAATTATTCTTCACCTTTCAAGCTGGGCATTCACAGTGTTCATGCTCCAGCTTGAGGGGGAGAATAGGGAGGATAGAGATGCTAGCCAACCAAGAAGCCACAACATATCCTAAATTGAAGTTCCAACGAAAAGCTGAAGGGAAAGCTAGCTAGCCAATGAGCAGCTGCTGTTCCAAAGAGAGGAAAGTTAGCTGAGAAGCAGTAACTTTTCCTGGGAGCCGTAAACAGCGCAAACCCGAACCAGTGAGTCGATTTACATCGACATATCCATCAGGTTGCTCAAAGAGACCAACCTTGTCCAATATGTCAGTCATCTTGAGTTTTCAAGAGGCAGTAACGATTCAAGCAATGATCATCCCCTCTTCGTTCTATACCTTTCCTTTTCAAGCTTGACATTCTTGTCATTCATGTCTTCGCTTGAGGGGGAGTGTAGAAAACCATCAATGCTATGACAACTACATGGCAGCCCATGCTGCTTCAATATTGCAGACAACAACAAAAGCAACCCATGTTGCTCCATACCATTCCAGCCAGTAGCTGGCAGCACCCATACTGTTCCAGGAACCACCATCACTTTCCAGCCTATCCTTGTATTGTTTAATGTCTTTCCTTCTGTATAAGTAGAGTAGAAACCCTCTTGTACAATTTAAGCTTTCCATCAATAAAATCATCATACACAAATTCTTCAAATGCTGGCACTCCGGATAGGCACGTGTGAAGAGGAGTGGTGCTGCAGACGTTGAATCTAGACACTGGCGATGGCGACTAAGTGGTGTTCAAGTACGGGTTTTTTAACATAGTCCCGCCGCCGCTGGCGTTGTGAACTTCGCCGCAGAATCCCCAGGAGAAATAGAAGATGGAATGGAGAACAATTTGCATGTCCTGCATCCAAAACCGTAAAACCAAGAAAAACAGACCCAAAATCGAAACAAAACTGAGACCATTGGATGCTAGACATCTCCCTGGCGATGAGGAATAGTCGCCGATTGGGTGTAGTTTGTTTTCTGTTCATGCGATCAGGGTCGCTGAGTCTGGAAGAAAGAATGGTACCAAAACAGTAGTCTTTGCCGGCTGTGGGGAGCTTTGGGGCAATCCCCCCACCCCAAGGTAGGAATATTTGATGCCACAAACAGTACCAGGGAAAGAAGGAACATGCTGCTTCCATGGAAACGAACCAAACTTGTGGCCCTTGCGGTTTCCCTCTTCTTCTGCACCATTTGCCAGTAAGTAATGCTTTTTGGAGATTAGGGTTAATTGGTTGTCTTATGCTTGCCAAACCAATTTCAGTCCTTCAATAAAATTACAATGACTCTATTAGTCTACAACAACTCTTTTCTCAACTTTCTCTATAAATATACTATGTTTCTTCACTCCAACTTCATCTCTTCCAATTTCGTCATTAATGACATCATATTTAACAACAATTTTTTTTTATGTCAAAATCAAAAAGATTTATCGAAACGTTCATCTTAATTAATTATTACTACCAGTATACAAATAATCTACAAATTGTCTTATTATAATCATGAAATTTACACTAAACTAGATTATCACAAAAGGAGAATATTTAGCATTCTAGCATTTTGGTTTTGCTTGTTGGAGCAAAAACCACTTTTTGAGTGCCAAAATACCCAAAAAATTTGATATTCTAGCATTTTGACATTTGGTTGTTGGAGATTGTCTTCTATCTCTTCTTTTCATTCACATTCTATACCGTAGGCAAGGCAAAGCAAAAAGCAAAACGAATTTGAACTTCCCCATCGAATTATGGAATCCCGCATGCCGCAGTTCCCCCTCGTCCCGAGACAGCAACGCGAATTTTGGCGAAACCAAACCCAAAAAAGCAGCTCGAGTAAAGGGGGCGTTCGAAAATCCGGAAATCGACTTCTTTTTCAAGAAAAGAAAAAGAGAAAAAAAAAAACCCCCTCCCTAAAACAAAATGATCCATTCCTCCTCCTAATGCCTTAATCAGCTGTTTCCTAGATAATGACACATTCTAATTAACAAACAGCGAGACGCCATTCCCCCGGGCCCCTTCTTGTTTGCCTTCAAAGGAAAACAAGAAAGAAACTGTACTTCGCAGTTCTCTTTGGGGTTTTCATGCCCCTTTTCTCTTATTCGCCTCTTCCCCGATTCAGAAGCTGGACTCTGGTTCCCCCCTTCTCCCGGTGAGTTTCTCCCTCCCAGTCCTCTCGATTTCCTTCTCACCCCACTCCACATCATTGCATTCATTCTCTACTTCTTCTTCTTCTTCTTCTTCTTCTTCATCTTTTTATTTTTATTTTTATCGGGAGATCAGAGGGTTGCTGTTTGTTAGTTTCCAGAGAGAGAGAGAGAGAAAAAAATGTGATGCACCGAGGGTTTGTAGCATATAGTTGTCCGTTTTCCCCGTTTCCATCTTGTTCGAGTTCCAATCACTTCCAAGATATTATTAGCCTGCGGCTTGGCTCTTCCTGTTTCCGATTTTCAGATGATAATTTTTACCTGGTGTGCGGCATTGCGATTTAGGGGGTGACTTCTGCCGGTATGATGTTTGTGGAAATGTCTCCACTGTGTTGAAGCATAGATATTTCATGCTTTGCTTCTTTAAGCGTGTCAGGCAGTCTTTAAACCCTGTGTGGAGCTAGATTATGTATATGCTTAGATGTCTAATTTGTGACGCCTTCTTTACAGAAGGCAAGCTTCAGCGCGCGCGCTTCATTTCTGTGTTTGTTTCAGTTCTCTTACTGACTAAATTCACTGGAAATGGATGTTCGGTAGATAATTTGTTGCCTTCCTTTTTGCAAAAGGTTTTAAGGCATTCTGATGGTTGGAGCAGTTTGGTGACTGGCAGGACCTCTAGCATGCCCTAACCTGTGGGGTTTTATTTGCTGTTTTAAGTGAGAAGGAAAATGCAGAAACCATGTTTAGTTTTTGCGGTTCTTTTCATGATTCATCTTTGCCGCCTCAACGTGTAGGCATCGCAATTTTGGAAATGGAGGCTCAGTATCATACTTCACCTCAACGTGTAGGCATCATAACATATTTTCTCCAGTTTCTGTCTTTTCGAAATTATCATGTTTTGTTCTTGATTCAGCTATCCGTTGGAAGTTTCTGGTTAGACTCCATGATCTTCATATTTAGTATAAGTGATGCCCAATTAAGGTCATTCCCGTGACTATGCTGCAACACGCTTTAAACTTACCCATTCCATCAGAGTTTGTTTGACCCATTTTGTATCTCTTTTCAACTTGCTCTTCACATGGCCGGGAATCTTGTCCTGCTCTGTGGACTATAGATGCAAGGCTCGTGCACGGTTTTGAATGAGAGAAAGATGTGAGAAATCCTCTTTGTGACTACAATTCTTCGACTTCCTTAATAGGCTCTTGAGCTTGGTTTACTTCACCACTGAGAGTGGTTGTACCTCAAACGAAAGGAAATGTTACTTTATATTTCTCTTAGACTACATGGCTGATGTTCTTTTTATTGTTGAAAATGTAACCCAAGCTTTCCTAAATGAATTTCTATTCCGTCGCAATGAGGCTGCCTGCTCTTTTTCCCAAGTGTTTGATGGTGCTGCTTCTTATTGGCATATGTCACTTGAGGGTTTTTGGTTGGTCTCGTGTCATCTATGATACATTCTTTTATTCATTCCCTCTGACTCTTGTAGGTCTATCTTTTGTCTAACAGTCAATGCATGGTGAACTGCTGAGATCCTTTCATCCTGATCTTCTACGATGCATATGAGCTAAGAACTATGTTTGTTTCAATGACTTTGGTTCTTTTGATGCTTGTTCAGATTATAGGCAAAATGCCAGAGATTCAATTGGGCACGCATACGGTGAGGTCGCATGGAGTCAAAGTTGCAAGGACACATATGCATGATTGGTTGATATTTCTGTTACTTGTCGTGATAGAGATTGTTCTGAATGTAATAGAACCATTTCACCGTTTTGTTGGGAAGGATATGATGACGGACCTTTCGTATCCTTTGAAATCGAATACTGTTCCCTTTTGGGCTGTTCCTGTAAGTTTCAACTTCATGTATTAGCGTCTTACTTGCTAAAACCCCTTGTTTACAACTTATTGGATTTATCTCACAGCTGGATCACAATCTCCTTTTCTCTTTCTCTTCCTCCTCCTTCCTCTTCAATGACAGATAGTTGCAGTATTGCTGCCTTTGGCCGTCATTTCTGTTTACTACTTCATCAGGAGGGATGTCTATGACCTGCACCATGCCATACTAGGTAACTATTGTTCTATGCTTTGCATTTGTAATCCCATGTAGTTGGTGCGTGGTAACTTAAACTAGAATCTTAATATACTTATATCCAGGCCTTCTTTACTCTGTTCTTATCACTGGAGTTATAACTGATGCAATTAAAGATGCTGTTGGCCGGCCTCGTCCTGATTTCTTTTGGCGTTGCTTCCCTGATGGCAAAGGAGTAGGTTCTCCCACATATTCTTTGATTCCATAAATTCTTCACTATCACAGCTTTAACTTGTGGATGAATTCTTATTTTCTTATTTATTTACTCGGGTAACGTGCATTAATAATATCCAGAAATTTGATCCCATCACAACGGATGTTATGTGTACTGGATTGAAGAGTGTCATCAAGGAGGGACACAAAAGTTTCCCCAGTGGACATACTTCTTGTGAGAACCTTATTTGCTAGCGTTTACCTGTAACTTTTCTGTACCATTTAATGCTGGATTTGCTGTTTAGATATTAACTGAAGCAGAAATATGTGAATTTCATTAGAATGAATTCTGTTACTCCTACTTTTGATACTCACATTTTGCTAAATGTCTGATCTGTGTTCTTGCTATCGTTCCTCCCCAGTGGCCTATTCATGATATTAGGACAGTCTATGAGGGTAGATGATGGACGGACAGAGCTTAATAACAAATTTAAGTTCCCAGTTAAATTCTGATGGCATATTCAGTTTACAACTTGATGCTCTTTTGTGCAATATGGCCATTGGATTTGTTGCTTGGTCTGACTTTTGTACGTTGATATCTGTCTTTTTGGGATCTCATTGGTATGTGTGCTTGACCAGGATTGTGGTTGGATTGTAGGTCCTGACGATATAGGTCCTGATACTTATTCATGTTGGTTTCATATAAGTTTCATTTTCATGTCTGCATAAAAGCTTATTAACAATTGACTATCAAACTTTTACGCTAATCTCTTATTATGTCTTCATGTTGGATCTTCATCATCTTTATTGTGCTTTGATTTCTTTGTCCGGGCATTTGGTTGAAAAGGTGCTTTTTTTTTATCTCAAGTATGGAATAGTATATACTGTTGCAAATAAATAGCTCAACCAAGACAAAAGCTGGTGGTTCCTGTATGCAGGGTCATTTGCAGGTCTTGGATTTCTAGCATTGTATTTATCGGGGAAAGTGAGAGTATTTGATCAGAAAGGGCATGTCGCAAAGCTCTGCATTGTCTTCTTCCCATTGCTTTTTGCAGCTCTGGTTGGAATTTCTCGAGTCGATGACTACTGGCACCACTGGCAAGATGTATTTGCTGGTGGTCTCATAGGTAGGTTTGCTTGTTTGTCAAACTAGCTCAGCTCAGACTTGTGTGTTTCTTCTGCTTGGGTGTGGGGGTTTAAAGAAGACCGACTGCTTTGTCATTCATTTGGTTGCAGGGCTGGTAGTTGCTTCATTTTGTTACTTGCAGTTCTTTCCTCCTCCTTATGATATTGACGGTACTTACTGATCTCTATTTGCTGTTGGTTATTTTAGTTCGACGCTTGTTCGTAAGCACGAGCATGTTGTTGTGTATGAGTAGTAGGAGCCGTTGTTGAACTGTGCAGGGTGGGGCCCGCACGCGTACTTCCAGATGTTAGCAGAGTCTCGCAGTGGAGCTCAGTCCACCAGCAACACCAGTACTGCTCTCATAGTGCGCCAGTCCGAGCTGGAGAATGTTTTCATCGATCCACAGCACAGCAACGAAGGTGGTTTTGTTCGGGACAGCACCCCCATTTTTGAGGGGATGGATAGTCAAAGGAGGCATTGACTTTTTGCCGGTCTTTTAACCACGCACTATATCAGAGATCAAGCACTAGTTTGTTCATACCTGAGCTTTTGCTATTATTAAGGATGGTAATTTTCAGACTTATAAAAAAGAGGAAGGAAGGTTATTTTAGCAACCCTGATGTTTGGGTTGAGAATTGACAAGTAAATGCACAGGTTGGGTCGACAATTACGCACAGGAAATTCTATTCAAAAGGAAGCAAGTTTAAGGACCAGGATACGATGATCTAGCGGGCCAAATTGTATCCTTTGGGCTGGCAAATTTCTGAATTAGGTGCGGAAATGGAGCAAGCCTGGTTGGGCCGAAGGAAACGGGGATGCAGGCCACCACCATGTACCAGTCCCAGAGAGTGGAATCCAAGGACAACCCAATTTCTTCATTATAATTCATAAGTCCCATTGTTGGTTAATTAATAATCAATATTTATGGATAGTAATAACGTGCTATGATTGCGGACAATGGTTTATTCTATTGGTAGTTTGGTACTATATAAACTTGGTGGTTGTAGGTTTGAATCTCCGAAATAGCACCTTATAACGAACCTATATTATCTTTATCTATAAAAACGTAAATACAATATATTAGCCATAACTATTAAACAACCCGGAATTATAGTCACAATTATCGAAATACAAATTATTAGCCAACCGTTAAGTCTTCGTTAACACTTTTGTTAGTAATGATAACTAAGGGCCTGTTTAGTATTGTTGCTTGTTTTTGTTTCCTGTTGTGTTTTAAGAAATTTGGAAAACCAAGAAAAAAAAACGTGTTTAGTTGGGTTTTTATTTTTTGTTGTGAATCAGAGTTGCACAACAAGGCCCAAATATGAGAAACAACAATTTATAGCTTTGGATCTGATTCTTAAACATGTTGCACACGAGATTCCTATTGGTTGGGCGCTTGATTTCATTAAAACAGACCAGTTTTCGAATCCCCAAAGAAGCAAAAAAATTTCTTTTTTTTTAACACAGCCGCCCCCCCCCCCCCCCCCCCCCCCCCAAAAACCCTACTTCCACTTCCCCTTTTTCATCATCTTCTTCTTCTCGACAGAACACAACCGCCCTTTTCCATCTTCTTCTTCTTCTCGACAGAACACAGCCGACACCCATCTTCTTCTCCCAGCCTCCGCGGGGCGCGACCCCTCTGCCTCCGCCCAGCGCCGCTCTGCCTCCGGCCGCCGCAGCCCACGCCGCCTCGCCTCCGCCCACCGCAGCCCGCGCCGTCTCGCCTCCGCCCAGCGCCGCCTTGCGGACATATCTCTTTTTCTGGTTTTTAGTTCTTATAGTAGTAACTAAACGCGTTTTTGTTTCTTGTTGTCAGCTTTCATGATTTTTCAGATTTATCAACTAAACATGTTTGTGTTTTCTGTTTTTTTCCTGTTGTGGTTGTACATCTGTTTACACAACACCACTGCAACCACAACAGCAACAAAATGATACTAAGCTTTTACGATGTTGAGCTGGCTCCCGGCTCCCACGTGGCAGTCATCATATCACATTTTTTACGATGCTGACATGGCCTTCTCCGTTTTTAAAATTTGAAAACAGTAACGGGTTGTTAGCCAAATCTTGACCCGCAACAATAATTATGGCTAATAATTTATATTTCAATAGTTGTGGCTATAATTCCCAGCTGCTTAATAGTTATGGCTAATATATTATATTTACCCTAAAAAAAATATAATTAAAGGGGCGTTACGATTAATGATGGCAGTGGGACAACACTGAAGGGGAGAGGAAGAAGGAAAAAGAAAAGGAAGAAACATAGAAGTGGAGAGGGGCAGTTGAGTGGCTCTAATCTAGATGAGTTTGGTTTGTTTAATGTTGGATGGCGACAATAAAACTCGTTCATGCACGGTGAAGGATCCAACGAAGGAAGAGGAGGTTGTTAAAATTAACTGCAATAATCGGTAGCTTCTACGGTATCCGGGTGAAATCCGAGATACCGTATATTTTGAGTATGGAAAATGTTTTTTAGATTTTGAATTAGCAGGATTTTTGGCCCCGACACTGTACTCTAACTCTTAATGTGTGAACTTTAGGTTCTAATTATCTAAATCACAAACTATAAATCCTAAGATAGTGTATTCATTTTCTGTCTATATTTGGACGAATCATAACCGTCGATTATTGTTTCTAATTAAATTGATATTGGAGTATAAGATTTAGAGAATTAAGACCTAGATTTTGATTTTTAAGGACTAGAGTATAGTATCATGTCCAAAATATTGGCCAATTCAAGGTTTAAATAGCGTTTTCATACTCAAAGTATGCAGTACCCCAGATTTCACTTTGGGTACCATAGAACTCACCATAATCATTTTGTCAAATAATCACATGTTGGCAAAATACCCAGGTTCATGTTGACCGCATGAAGCTTGATGCAAAAATTTACTTCATATATGAATTTCTCAATTGTAAGGCATAATCATTTTGTCAAATAATCACATGTTGGCAAAATACCCAGGTTCATGTTGACCGCATGAAGCTTGATGCAAAAATTTACTTCATATATGAATTTCTCAATTGTAAGGCACCAACATGTTTCCAAATATACTTTAGGGGGCCTCTTTGATATTGCTCGAGTTACTGCATCTTCTTCTCCAAACAATGAGTGAAAGTCATGCAGTTGTTGTCTCAGGTAGTGTTACACCCCGCTCTTCCCAAAAGTTAAAATGACTATTATACCCGTGGGTCAAGTTCCACCGTATTATCAATGAGAACTAAAAATGTTAACTGTTGGTTTAAGCGGTGTCGTCAAATTTGGACATAAATTAAGGAAGTTACGGACGTTAATTGAGTTTCGGATTAAACTCACACGTAATTGTAAGATTCCCAAAAATATCCTTTAACTAATTAAACCCTAGAACCTTTACCCCACTCGGCCTCACCCCAATAGCTAAATCCTCGCAGTCTTTTTACTTTCCCACCGAAAGCAACTTGCTCTCGGGAAAGAAACAAATCAAAAGCGGCGACGTCAACAGATCTGCTGGTGCCAAATCGGTGCTACGAGAGCAGCCTGCTTGATCTGGCGGGAGGCGAATCAAAGGGGGTAAGGTGAGTGTAAAGGGGGTAAATTCTACGCCTTACGGTTTTTCAAATATTTTCCTTGAGTATTCTCAAGTATTGATTTACGTGATGTATGTGCAGTGTTTGATTCATGTTTGAGATTTGCATGATTATGTTTGATAGTATGTGCTTTGGTTGAACTATGATTTGAAGTGAAGGTGTTTGAGTTTATCTCTTACTTTGAAGTTTACGTTTATGAGTGATTATTAAAGTTTAAGAACAAGTCCTTTTAAGAAATACTTCACCTGCGAAGAAGGTGAAATCGTTATAAGTGTTTTTAGACACTAGCGCCAGTTCGTTGCCATTTGAGATTTTCATATAGAGCCGCAGTTATGCTCTTGAGATCTTTGAGACAGAGCAACAGTTATGCTCTTGAGATATTTAAGTTGAGCAGCAGTTATGCTCTTGAGATTTTTAAGATGAGCAGCAATTATGATATTGAGAATCGTGGAAGAAGAGCCTTCCACGATAATTTAAGTTTAAGGAAAGCCTTGATGGCTTCTCATACGTATGAGTTTGCAACCAGACTAGCTAGTGAGGGATCCCCGTGTCGGTCAAGTATTTAAGTCAAGCTTTGAGATTTAAGAATGGAGAGTAACAGTTACTCCCATACAGTTTTAAGAGTTAAGATTTTTAAGAATGGAAGTACAAACAACTTCCCTCAGTTTGAGTTTAAGTGTTTGAGAAGAAGTGCAAAATTATTAGAAAGTTTAAAACATAAGGGCATAGACTGACCCCAACTCACTCACCAGGCCTTAGTAAGGAATGAGCGAGAACCAGATCGATAGCAGCTAGCTAGAAGAGTAGTTAGAGAGCAGCGAGATCGAGGGAACCGATCGAGGCAAGCCAGCTAGAGGAGGATAGTACAAGCATCACTGAAGTTGCCAGAGATCGAATCCGAGCATATAACAAAGTAGAGTTTAGTTAATTCTTTACGTTTATGAGTATAGACTGGAGATTCATATTAAGATGCTATGGTTGAGGTTTGCCCAAGTGTTAGGGCTTGCTCTTAAGAGATTTCAGTTTACTTCAGCAAACGTTAAAGTTATTTATGAAAATCTTTTGCTATTTTTCCAACTCTTTTTAGTTCTTATTTTGATTTACGATTTATCAAGGGTATTTTGGTAAAGTTAGTGTCCGGCCGGACTAGGGTGTTATAGATAGCACTAATGTTACTATGCGAGCCATGATTGTTATGCCAGTGGCATGCCGGCCGGTTGAACCAGGTTCAACCGGTACCGATCATGAAACCAACTGGAATGCCACAAGTATAATACTCTGGTCAATGCCGACCAATGCCGGTCGAAACCCGGAATTTTGGGTGGTTCAACCGGCATTCAGTTTCCGATCCCTAAGCTTTACGCGTTCTTTTTCTATGAATTAAACTGTGGGGAAAGAACTTTGAAAGGGAAATTTCTCTCCACTCTCGTAATTCAACTCGCCCGATCCCACGAACTCCCTGCCTTTACTTTATCTCCTCACGAAGAAAGAACCCCCGATCAAAACCGGGTTCATGGGTACCCGTGGGTTTTTGTGGTAAAAAATTTACAATAACAAATTTCTTTCAAAATAAAAGTTTAACATCAATTTTCTCATACAAATTATTCATACAAAAAACACCAATCTAGAACATACAAGCAAATCGTAAATGATCAATACAAATTGTTCAAAATTAAAGATAAACACCTATAAACAACAAGATTAATTGAAATTTTCTTTCTCGTCAAATAAGTTTCTTCACTCTCCACTCCATAATATCAACTTCATTCTAAACAATTAGAAAGAACAAATTAAACATGTCTCCACAAACATGAATAATATTAGTTGTTTAAAGAAGATATATTATTTAGAATATTAAATATACCGGAAAAGTAATTATATGTGTGGGCGGGTACCCATGGGACGGATTTACCTAAACCCAAACCCAACCCAACCCGGTGAATAGTGTAGCGGGTTTAAACCCGAACTCGGCCCAAAACCCGTCAACACGGGTTTTACCCGCGTTGACCGGGTTGGGTCGGGTGGGTACCCGTGAGTTCGGGTTTTGTTGCCATCCCTACCACCACATCATCAAAATCCAACACAATTCTAATCCATTGACCAAATCCAACCTGTGACTCGACCATATACTCGATTCCACCCGACTTTCTTTCTCCTCTACCGCTGTTAGTCGTCGTTGTCCTATGTTCCATCTGCGCAGGGGAGTGCTGACACATGCACATCAACTTCATCGAACACCTACTCAAACGTAGTGCATCCTTAAGGAGAGATCCCGACGACGTCGCCTCTGTGTCCTCTTCCGCTCCTACTCCAACTCAAACTCCTATGTCAACCTCACCATCTTCGTCCCTTTCACCGGTAGCGACATCATCTGGGCACACGTCCACGATGATGCGGAGAAGC